AAGCTATCGCTGCAAGGGCTGAGCAGCAAAACTAAGTTTATGTCAAGCATCCAATGCACCACGCTAGCCACATGTGGGGCATCTGTCACTGGACCTGGCTTTGCCTTGGCCTTCGCTGAACTTGAAGCCCCCTGGAAGGACTTTCGCTTTCGAGGCAGGGCAGCCATGGGACCTGGAGCTGCTAGCTGCAAGGCCTCGGGATCCTCGAAAAATCTCGGGAGATAATGGCCACGCTAGTGATGTAGGCACAGCAGGCCAAACAATCATGCTTGCACGCTGCTCCTTCCTGAATCATGGACAGTTAAAGGCTCCAACTCTCATGCATGGACAGCACAGGCTCTCATGTGTGGCACAGAACAAGGGCACAGGGATCATGGTGTACATACCCACTCACCTGACTTTGGATTTCGCTACATATCATGTGTGTTTTGAGAGCCAGTTCAAAGGGGATGTCCCAGAAATTCTATGCTAGCACGAGCCAGGAATCCGACACTAACTATCAGTATGTAACGTCCTCAGTGTCACAGGCACAATCGAACTTAACAAAACCCAAGTAAAAAAAAACACGGCCCGCCCCGCCCCAGAATTGGACACTAACTCAGGACCTGGAATCCAGGGGAGTTGGTGTCCAATCCGACCTCGCTTTGGACACTAACTCGCTCCGAAACTCTGGATTGCAGATGTGCTGATTTTGATAAGACACAAGAAACAAGGCTGCACGCATGCACTTGGTGTCGGAAGCCACCTGGGATTGGACACTAACTGACCGGAGTGTGTGGCATCGTATGAGTGTCGGATTCCTGCCTACCATTCTCTTCCAGGGGGCGGGCCCCCCCTAATGTCCATGCCGCACCCCAATTTTTAGGATTTTTGTGAAAAAAGGTATTTTTTGACGATTTTTGTTTTTTGCGAGTCTTGAAAAAGGTGAACAGTCCCTATGTTTTGCTTCCGTGCAAAAATCTGTCCGACGATAAAACGACGAAAACCGACGAAAAACATGTGTTCTCGATTGTATTTCAGCCATATTTGGGCATTTTCCTGTTCGCCGACTCTGGAAAAAAGGTCAACAGTCCCTGTGTTTCGCCTCCTTGCACAAGATGGTTTCTCCATGAAACCACGAAAAAAACCCTCTCACCGGTAGGATTTCAGCGGTACTTGGTGGGTTTTCGGGCTTATCGACTCGGGCCATGTTGCACGTTTCTTTTTTCCTTTCACCTCTTGGAAAAAGATGAACAGTCCTTATGTTTTGCTTGGGTGGCGATCTCTCTCGCGATTTCATACGAAGGGTCGCTCGTGGATTTGAACATGTTTCTCGTATCCTCACAATAGCTCATGGGGATTTCAGGGCATGTCAGTCATGAAAAAAGCTCAACAGTCCTTGTGTTTTGCTATTCTGCAAAAACCCAGTCCGGCAACATCCAAGCACCAGGACCGGCCAAAAACACAGTCTTCTCCAAACAAAGTCAAGTCTGGTTCATGCAATATGCATTATCCTGTTGTCGGTTCGTGCAACCTTTCCAAGTCTTCACCATGTGCTTCCAGTGCAGAAGTAATGATACCAATACATGAAGACGACCTACAAGCTTTCAGTGCAGAAGTAATACCAAAACATAAACACCTCTAACAAAACAAAACTTCACGGACTGAGACTGTCATGTAAGCCGACAAGAATTGCACGCACACGCATGAAGTGTTTGTCCGAAGGCCTTGTCGCCAGCCTCAAGGATCTCGCCGGTGTCGGGTCGGACCCAACAGAAAGATGCTATTATTCTAAATTACTCACTACGGCTACTACCTGAAACTTAAAGGCCTGTTGCAGAAAGATCCCAATCACCGACCCTTACCGCCTCCCTTCGCCTTCCCCTTGGCCTTGGGCCTTGCTTTTGCCTTCGGCAACTGCTTTGGCTTAGGGGAGGCCCGTGCAATTGCATTTCGTGAAATGCCCAAAGCTTCAGCCCAAGGAACACCGGTCGCCCACGCAGACGCTGCAGCTTGCAGTGTCAGCCTAGCACGAGCACGTTTCACGTACTCCTCTGCTGCCTTCTTCTCGCCTGGTCCACGACCCAGCCTCGAATCGTTGAGCACGAAACTTTTTGCTTGCATGTGTGATTTCAGACAGTGACAGACAACAACACAGAATGCAGCCACAGAACCGAATCGTATTCCTCCGGGGGTCAAAGGAAGTCACGCCCCGCAGATTCAGGTTCACTCCCCGGGGCCCTGGTACCAAGATGCACCTGAGAACAACAAGTGCCATCGCAAATCAGTTGCTGCACAAAACATCCTCCAGACTGTCGTGCACAACGTCTAGCATGCAGCCTTATGACGCCGACACGTCCAGCATAGGAGCCCGTGGCCAGGTACCGTCCAACCACTCAGAAAGGTAGTCAGCACCACGTTCCAAACCAAAGCTACGAAGAATCGGCAGGAATTTCGTGATGTGGTTTCGGTAATCATCGGAGATTGGATTCCTCTCCACATGGCCTAGTCAGCTCACAAAGAAGGCCTGCACCATTGGAAAATGCAGGCAAGCGGCCGGCTGGGAGCCCCCTCGGCAAACGAAGCAAAGCAATGGATCGTGGAAAGTACAGGATGGTCTTGTTGTAGTCCTCGTCCGCCATGTACTGCTTGCACCTGTGCAGGCAGCAAGCCCTAAGCCCAAGCCCGAAAAACAGAAGTGACACGTGGCGACCCTTTAAACTAGAAAATCCCCGAAGCCCTGGGCATGCTTTAATGCTGGCTACAAGCTGCTGAGACCTGAGACTTTGCCCCCAAGCCACCGAAAAAAGAACAACACGACGAAGCACGCCGAAGTTACGACCCACTCCAACCCACAAGCCCTAGAGCTTAAGGCCTTAGCCCTAAACCAAGCCCTAAAACTTAAGAAAACTGCTATTTACTGCTCCCGCCCAAACCCGTCATGATGCACTGCTGGCAGGTCTGCACTTATTAGCCCACAGCCGAGAACCAAAAATTCAGGTCAAGCCAAAGGGATTGAAACCCGAACCATTTAACAAGGCCTAAGTCGCCCCCCCCCCCTCCCCCGCCCCCTCCCAAGCACGGACGACCCGAAGCCATGCAGTAACACTTTCATGCTGGAAAGTAGTTTACTTTAGGATGATGTTCTGTTCTCGACCACATACTGTGAAGAAAAGCCTTAATAAAACCTAAACCCCTAAAACCTAAACCCTAAACCCTACACCCCTAAACCCTAAACCCCAAAACCCCTAAACCCTATAAACCCTGCAAGCCCTAAAAGACCCTGTCCTTGGACTGAAAAAAAAACCGTCTGAAATCCTAAGCTCAGTCCTGGACCTTGGCCACAAGCCTAAACCCCAAGCCCGTGAAACCGTAAAAAGAAGCCCCTTTTCCAGGAAGTATTGAACCAGGGCTGTGAGGCATCCGAAACCGATTCTCATGTAGTCAGAACTCAGTGTTTGCAGGCCGAAAAACCGCAGGATCACATCCTGTCCCATGGGCTCGATGTTTTTCCAATATCCGGCATCCATGGACTCCACATCCACGGGACCTTCTTTTTACATTTTGTACAATCGGCCACAAAATCCATATGTCATGCTCAGAGGAATGATTGGCATGCACCAACACGAAAGTTTGAGGTCAGCACTCAGGGCTTCTCTCCGGGACATGTGCCATACATGAGGTGCACCTGGGCCTGACGTGCCCTGGATCATGACCGGCACGCCCTCGGAAAGAAAGCCTTTCCTAGGGCGAGAAAATGGTCACGCACACAGACCACCTAATGCCCACACGCATAGACAATCAAGCAGCAACATTTAAGCATTCGGTCGCCCAAGCACCAGTCCCGAGCTCCGTCCAGTTTCAAAACCACTCGCCCGGCTTCATACGGTCGCTTGTAGTCCTGGAGGAAATTCTGGATGACAGCCATAAGGTCATCAGGAGTCTGGGCCTGTCGGCCTTTCGAGGCTAGGAAAGTTGCCAAACCGCCAAAGACTTGATCTATATCCTCATGGCTATGGCCGCTTCTGAGCTGCTGCAGGGAACATTCCCGCAGCACTCCTCGCAGGGCATTCCCCGACAAAAGGAGAATTAGAAAAGCACATGAAACGAGTCCCCGCCTTGTCCCGTCATCGCTGCCATCCACTTCATGAACGGGTTGTTTTTCATCTCCCGGGGGGTATTATCACATTGAATATGTAAGTGATGTTGTGCCAAGCAGCAAGATTGCTGCTGAAGTCTGGAAAGAACGTGACACATAATCTCGATCATGACACTCGAATTCTTGGGAAGGTCCGCATCGGACAGACACATCATGATGAACCAGCCGTGCACGATGACGGCTGTGAGGTGACATTTGGGCTTTTGCAATGTGCTGAGATCCTTAGCCCGAGTGAGATCAGAACGAGGTATACTTGTCTTTCCCTGGTCCATACTGTCAATGATCACGCATATGTGAGCACCATTTTTCATCCTGGATAAACCTCTGCTGGCCCAATAACATCTTCGGTCCACGTACTGGGCCTTCAAATGTTCTGTGTACAATCGTACTTGTTCTCGCCGGGCCAGAAGATGACTGGAGAACTCTTTGATCAACATTTTGTGGCGAATGCATTCGTTGCACTGAGCATGTTGGCTTTCTTGTCTGAATTTCAAATGAGTAAATTCCGAGGACCAGACCTAGGCAGGCAATCTAGTTAGTTCAAAAACAGGATAGAAGTTCAGAAGTCTTAGTTCCCCCGCCCCCAGCATCATCACGATAACGAGCCGCACGCCAAAACTGAGCGAAGGATATGGGAGGTTGGCCATCTCTCAAAACATTCATCTGAAGCCAATAGTCACGCATGTGGCCGGGAGGTAAATAGCGAACCTCAGCCTTGCTGGGCAGAATCTTGATTGATCGCTTGAACATCCGGGGCTTGCTCGGGCCCTTGTGGGGCTTGATCTGCGAACTGATCGCCGCTGCATATTCATCGTGTTGCTCGCTAGTGGCTTGCATCATAATTTCAACATGATCCTGCACCTCCGATTCGTTGTCTGGGGAATCCTTGACATCAGGGATCGTTTCGGCAACGGAATGGTAGATGGATTCCAAATAGCCAACGATGTCACCCCGAACTTGAGACGAGTGCTCTCGAGCACCCAAATCCTTCCTCAAGAAGCGAAGATCCGCAGGTGGAGCGAATCGACCTTCCCTAGCAGCCTTGGCCAGTCGCCTGAATCGGCTGGTGCCTTGATTGGGAGCAGGCTCGAAATAATATGTAAGCGAAACCTAAAACCGCACACGACATCACGAGTCATGAAAAACATCGAAGTCTGTTCAATGTTCAAGGAGCCCATGCCGTACAACTTCATCCAAGCTTTGGAGCACACAGTAACAGAGTCAAACTGAAGGTACGCAGCAGTGTCGTGCTTGTTGCTCTTTTCAAAGGAAGATTTGATTTGCTGGAAAGCCTCAGTTTTCCAGGGCAGACCAAACGCTTATTATGTTCGGTACGCACGAAATAACAACAATCGCTGGCATCCGGAACCGAGGATCGATGTTGTCTTGGTCCAACTTGTGCAGCTCAACCCATTCTTTGCGAAGTTGTTTCAGCCGCTGAATCTTGGGAGCGACTCCAAATCTCTTGAGGCATCCACGCCCACATTTCCCCCCCGGACACTTTCTTTTTGTAAGCTTCGTGAGAACATTGTCCGAGTGGAAGAGTTCACGGGCACGCCGGCGGTCTTCTTTGCTTCTTGCTCGTTTTCGTTTCAAAGATGTTCGGGGCCCTTTCGCCTGCAGCTGAAAACCGGCAAACGAAAGTTTTCAGTTGGATGA